TGTATTCGAATGACATTAGATTTTGTTAGACATTTAAGAATAAACACTAGCGAGAAAAACACACAACGTTTCGATGACTCCATGTCATCATTCTCAAGTGAGAAGAGAATAAAAATGAATAGTTAATTTATACCGTACGAAGGTGGCAAACGTAAAAAGTTTAAAATATTTAAAATATTTAAATAAATAATTGCGCGTGTTGAGTTCATAAATGTAAACTATTAAATAAATAGTTTCGCGCGTATGGAATCCGATTGTTTGTTCAAAGAGGGCTTCATCTTCTTTATGAAAAGCATTTCATGAACTAAACAGTCCAGTTTCCCGGTGCACTTTTTAAGTACGTTGAAATGCTTGGTCAGGTCGCCGATGGTTTGTAGGCCGTGGTCGTTCTTTAGATGTTTGCCGATGGCCGAATTACGGTGCTCATTAATACGTTGATGTAAATGCCGGCTGGTGTACCCGACGTACTCTGCATCACACAGATCACATTTATAATTATATACAACGCATTGTTGGCTAACTATAGGAGGTTTAGGCTCACGTACTCTGAGATCTTCACAGATTTTGCGACTCTTGAACACGGGATGAAGGGTGTGATCGATTTTGTTGCTTAGATCTGATAATTGCCTTTTCACTGCGTCAGCTGACTTTTGATCTTTAAAAGGCAAAACCACTCGGTGAACAGCATTTTCGTTGATGGATAATTGAGCTTGCACTCCAGGGTTTTCCGACCTAACTGAGGTGACAAAGTGAGAGATGGTGGAATTGTCTTGATCTTGTTTCTCTTCGATAGAACAGAGAAACTAGATCAAGACAACAAGCTCCCTGAATTTTACAGAAGGTACGTGGATGACACGTTTGCTATTGTCACAAGTGTACCAGCGGCAGAAGATTTATTATCAACGCTAAATAACTGCCATCCGTCCATACACTTCACCATGGAGCTAGCATCTGGAAACAAGTTACCTTTTGTCGGTATGGAAGTGCTCAAGAAAGGCTGTAAACTAGAAACTAGTGTTTATCGGAAACCAACAAACACAGGCCTATTGCTTCATCACCAGAGCCACATCGATAAAAGGTACAAGAAATCACTACTAAAGACCATGCTGAATCGTGCATTCCGCCTGTCGTCCACATGGGAGTCCTTCAAATCTGAATGTGATCATCTAAAGATGATGTTTACAAACCTCAAGTATCCCGACCACCTCATCAATTCCACCATCTCTCACTTTGTCACCTCAGTTAGGTCGGAAAACCCTGGAGTGCAAGCTCAATTATCCGTCAACGAAAATGCTGTTCACCGAGTGGTTTTGCCTTTTAAAGATCAAAAGTCAGCTGACGCAGTGAAAAGGCAATTATCAGATCTAAGCAACAAAATCGATCACACCCTTCATCCCGTGTTCAAGAGTCGCAAAATCTGTGAAGATCTCAGAGTACGTGAGCCTAAACCTCCTATAGTTAGCCAACAATGCGTTGTATATAATTATAAATGTGATCTGTGTGATGCAGAGTACGTCGGGTACACCAGCCGGCATTTACATCAACGTATTAATGAGCACCGTAATTCGGCCATCGGCAAACATCTAAAGAACGACCACGGCCTACAAACCATCGGCGACCTGACCAAGCATTTCAACGTACTTAAAAAGTGCACCGGGAAACTGGACTGTTTAGTTCATGAAATGCTTTTCATAAAGAAGATGAAGCCCTCTTTGAACAAACAATCGGATTCCATACGCGCGAAACTATTTATTTAATAGTTTACATTTATGAACTCAACACGCGCAATTATTTATTTAAATATTTTAAATATTTTAAACTTTTTACCTTTGCCACCTTCGTACGGTATAAATTAACTATTCATTTTTATTCTCTTCTCACTTGAGAATGATGACATGGAGTCATCGAAACGTTATGTGTTTTTCTCGCTACGGTTTATATTAAGTGTTGTTTTGATAACCATGTTACACCATCCATTTGGTGCTGTTAAACAATTATTACGCGGAAATATGATTAATTATGGCAAGTCAATTGTAGCAATATTCAATACTAAAATTCAATTTGAGTTCAATGAAATTCAATTTCAATTCAAGTTCAATTCAATTTCAATTCAAGTTCAATTCTATGAAAATTCAAGTTCAATTCAATTTCAATTCAAGTTCAGTTCAATGAAAAAAAAATACATTCAAAATTGCTTCCGGTTAGTGACCGGAAATGATAACTAGCATACGGGAGCTTTCAGACTTATGTTTTCGTGCAGTAAGTTTTAACTAGCATCGTGGCGGACGTAGAGCTAGAATTTGACGGGAGAAAGACTTACCTGAATTTTTATCGTCAGTGCTCGAAAGAAGAGAGCAGTGTATACATAAAAAGGAAACGGATATCAATGACTTGCAAGCACAATCTGTAGTTCTCTATCGAACCGTTAGTCTTTTGAGTTCTATTGCCTTAATTGACATTGAGCAAGATCGGATCGAGTGGGAATCTCTAGCTACTGCTTTTGCAGAAATACTACGGGCTATTGAAAATCATCTCAAAACTGTAGCAGTAAACCCTTCATCAATTTCTCGACGTAAATGTGAAATTCTCAGAAAGGGAAACCCTGGGAGACCACAGTTCTATATATCTCCTGACACGTTGGAAGATCTTCTCGGACTTGGATTTTCATTGTTAAAAAAATTCTTGGTTGTTTGGTGTGTCTCGCTGGATAATTTACCGTAGCGTACAATCATATCAATTAAGTTGTAAATACAATGATATCTAGCTCGTCGCTGTGGTTAGTGTTTACAAGTGAAACAATAGATGAAACGTCACTTTCAAATGTTTTACCCAATAGCACATAGTTGAGGGGGTGGGCTAGAGGTGCTACATTTGAAAGGGTTATGTTTTGCTGGGCTTGGGCGAATATCTTGGGTATCATGTCAAAATGGACTTAAAAGACTGGGCCTAAATTGTTGTATTTCCAGCTGAGATTGTTTAAGATGTTTAAATTTATATTTGAAATGTATGTTAGAACATGTTGAATTGCAAAAATTGCTTTCTCTGGACCACCTGCACTATAGAAAGGACATGTTTAGTGGTGCCTTATAATTGTGCCGCACAAGGATTTGTCACAAATAATAGTTCAACAGTTGATTTAAATGGGATTTTAAGAATTATGAAGTTTTTCAGTCCACTAAAAGCATTTTCAGGTGCCAATGCTCATACAGTCATTGCACTCACAACAATTCATGGGAAAGAATGAATTCCTCAGTAAAAAAATTTGATTATAAAGTTGTGGCATGGTTTCTAGAAAATGGGGGACAACATAAGTTGTGTTTCATTTGTGAATTAGCTATCTATGTCTGTTAGCAGACTCAAAAAGAAAATCTTCAACAAAAATACTTTTTAATTTGTTGTTAGACACAAGAACTTTCACCACTTGATTGTAGCATTGTATCTGTTGAAT